ACATAATTTTCTCCCCGCAGGTATATCACAAGAACATAAAATTACAGCAGCTCTAATTCTTTTTGATAAAGGATTCTTATAAGTTGATATTTGTATTCCATCCCAAAGTTGACATAATTTATTAACTATAGGTGCTAGATAATGATTTATATGATGCAAATGAACCTTATTTGGTCTGGGTAAAATATCAAGAATCATTATATTTTCAACTTTAAATCTTTCTTTTCTTGGCAAATTACAAATTGTTGCATAAATTACGTCAATACAATACTGTGTATTAGTAAAAGGTTAAAACCAGTCTAAGTTTAGCATCAAACCAAGATGTGAATCAACCATTTCATGTATAAAAAATTGACCACCATTTGATGGCATGTCTTCAAACTCTTTCCAAACTCGACCATCATAGATATTAGAAATAACGCCATTTGTTATATTTCGACATGTCCACTTACGACATGCTTTTTCAAAGTCTGGCTGTTTATACATTTTTAATAAGTAGCTTTTAATACTAGAGAGTGGAAACAATAAAATTGGCCTATTAATGATTTTATTATTTAAATATTTATTTTGAACTGCTAAAGCAGAATTATATACTTTTTTTGTCGAGAGCCGACCACATTTGAAATTCGATATGATCACATCTTTTGATTTCTAGTTGCCCTCTAGTATTTCGCGAGTTAACTACATCTTCCTTTTTGTACAATTTATTGCAATTTGGACATGGAACGTATACTGTGATATTATTACTAATTTTAAAATATTTTTGAATCTTATAAATTGAATTTGGATAGTCGCTAAATTGATCCTCACCACCTACTTCAACTAAGATTAGCCAAATAAATTTAATTAAAGTATTGATAGCAGTTTTAGATATGTTGAACCTAGTTTGAAATTTCAATAACCAAAGCATAATCCATTCATATTCTAAAGGTGAATTAAAGTTGGGTTGAAATTCAGTCTGATCATCGTCACCATCAATATTCGGTGCAGAATAGTTTTCAAATTCATTAATATTACTATAAATTTTTTCTTTGGTTGATTGCTTATTTGATTTTTCAGCTGATTGTTCAACCCATTCATCAGCTAATTCTTTCATTGATGCTTCTGCTGATCCTTCATCTAATTCTGTGACTTCTTCAACTGATTCTTCACCTAATTCATTATTAAATTAGTTAACTAATTTCTCATTTAATTTATTATTTAATTTCTCAAACTCTTCATCACTACTTTTATCTGTCAAGTCTTCATCTGTTGAGTCTTCATTTGGTAAGTTTAATTGTATACTTGCATGAGTGCGACATTTTTTTCTTGGCAAAAATAATGGCTCTATATTTTCCTCAATGTCTTCTATTTCTTGATTGTTACTTAAATTTAATCTGCCTAATTGTTCTGTAAATGATTCACTTTCTTCTTCTCCTTCCTGTTGTATCATATCTTCTAATTCATGTTGAGCTTTTGTACATCAAGAAACTAGATTACCATTATATGCATATGACGAACAATGACAAGGAATACGAGTATTTTGTTGGGTTACATAGAAGTTTCAGCTATATCAGAACCTACACTTTCTGAATCTGTAATAGAATCTAAAATTTGTTTAAAACTATGATTTTGTGGCATTGTAAGTAAATTTAATATGTAATCGAGCTATTGTAAATTATTATTGTTAAAATAAGACTTGAAATATTTTTTCTTTTTTTCAAAAAAAATCAAGCTTTTTATTAAAAAAATTAGTTACAATTATAGATATCAATAGTTTATTAATAGTTTCATATACTATGATCTTTATGTAACTAGTTTTATATACAATGACCCAAAATTATAAGAATCAGGACCTTAATTCTCATTGATCGACAAAAGCGAAAGTTTTAATAGTGCTAATTCTGTTTGGCTCGTGGCGAGGTTTTATTGAAGTACCGTAAAGCTTTGCATTCAATACCCGGGGTACAAACAAAAAACCCTGGCTAACTTGATTTGTACCTGGTGATTTTATGCAAGGGAAAAGATAAAATTCAGTGGAAAATACTTCGAATGATTCTTAGACAAGGGTCATGTTTATTGGATGAAAATAACTACACAAACATAATTGAAATTAAACGACAGTAATGAGATTTTAATCTGGTAGGGTGCAATTCTAGGGGGTACCAAATGCAGTGCTCTATGGTACAATAGCATGGCAGACAATCATCATTACACAAACTTTTCAGATTTGAAGATCGTGACTCAGAGCTAATTCAGCCAATGAAAATGCAATATTTTTATAATATCAACATATATATTTTTATTAGTTCTTCGCTTTACTACTACGTATCATATAATGATAATACCCAATTTAGAATTTAAGTTCTCTCACTATTTCAAATATGCGATCTAAATACTTATAAAATTACTAGTTTCTTTATACTATGTGCATAAACATCCTTGTATGTTAAAAGAAGTAAGCTAAAATATTTGAATTTATCATTAATGCACAGAATACTATGCGTCAAGTTAAAATTTGCACCAAATCAAAAACTTAAATACTAAGCTTTATTAGCTTTTTTAGAGTTAGAATGAAGTCTATGTTCAGGTTAGGGTAAGTATTAGCAAGATTATAATATTTTAATCTGATGCAGATATTAATTAACGCACAATATATATGTTAGTATTTGATAAGTGCTGATTCAAACTGATATAAAACATCTGAAGCTTGGCATTAAATGTGACTCTCAGAGGATAATACAAGGATGGTCAAGTGAAAACTGCTGATTCCAACCAATATAACACTTTGAAGCTTGGTGTCAAATGTGATTTTTAGAAAATAATGCAAGGATAGACAAGTGAAAACAAGGATGTAAATGATTATATTAAGGAATTTCAACTTAGAGCTACAGAACAGAATGTAATGATTACTTATTGTTGAGGTTGGAATTAGAGCATTTTTATTTAGTGGCAATGATGAACAATTGATTGATTACAAATTTCTTTTTACATATGTACAATTATTTAATAATTATGTAATTTTTAAATTATATATTTACAAAAAAAAAATAAAATAAAATATTTCATTGTTAATATCATTTAAAATATATTTTTTAAATTAATTTTTTTTATTAAAACATTAAATTAATAAAATACATTAAGAAAAAAAATAAATAATAATGTTTGAAATCTAAGCATTCAAAAATCTTTCAAGAACTGTAAAGTAAGCTTGTTCTACTCTTGGCAATGCTTGCTTATTCTTTCAAAAAACTTCCAATATATCATGCTCATTTATTATCTTCTGGTCTTGTAAACTATCTTGTTGGCCTCAATAATCTCTTTAATAGTCGACTTCAATTTA